GACTGGGGAATACGGTAGGACTGCCGGGGCCCTATTGGGAGAGGACAACCCACACAAGAGACAACAACAGTGCGGCTTAGTTTTCATCTGTCTTGTCTGAGGAAAAGGACGTTGTTTCTTTTTTTTTCCCTTTAAGACGGGATTTTCTTTAGTTTTTCTATCCTCCAGAGAGAGGCCTTTGTTTTACTCTTGTCTTCGGCTTTTAGGTTTCTTTCTTTACTTTTAGAATTTATTTACTTCGTCTGAAAAGCCAGAGCAAGTTTGTCCACGCCCTGGCCAGCCTACCCTCGCCTCACAGAACTGTCTAAGGAGTGTGGACTCCGACAGTACTGTACAGTGGGCGCTCTTTTGCTAGCGGTAGGTACCGTATTCGTTCCCCTTTGCCCCCCGACCTTCGGTGGTCCTGCGCTACCGTAGCCTCTACCATGGACACAATCTACGGTACCTGTATCTCAATTCTTCCTCCTCCTCCTCCTCTGCTTGAGCACGCTACCGGTACTGCCCTCACTAGCCTTTTCTTCCTCTTTCTGTCGTATTCCCATACCGGGCGGAGCCAGTATATGGCGATCGCCCATCAATTGACCGACATCATGAAAAGGTGACAGCTTGTCATGTGGAGCTGCTTGAGTCTCCATCTATCCAAACCCCCTGGATAAACGTACTCATACAGTACAGGCACTTACCATACTCGATCCTTTATGCGGGGGGTAACCGAGGCCTGATACTGTAGCAAAGGAAGTAACACGCTTCGGTTGAGTTGTTCATGGGACGCGCATCATTACCTTGCTAAACTTTACTTTAATATATCGGCTGGCCTCGAATGGGCGCCGTGATCTCCGCTATTCCTCTTTTGCTCTAGCCTCGGTACTGTGCTCGATCTTCCGATATTACGAGCCGCACTCCTGGCCGTGTGTGAAGTGGTACTTGGCCAATCAATTGCTCCGGTGGACCCCCAAAGAACCTCCCCCGGCCAACCACTTGTAGGGTTACCCCATCTCTGGGTGGAGAGAGGGAATCTTTGTTCCAACTTCAGCTGAGCTTGATAAAATATCTTCTCTCGCGCTCGGCAGCCCGGAATAAAAGCGATTGTTTGTTTGCCGCCGCGTCACGATTAAAACTGATTAGGATGGTACAGTAGGATGCGTTGCTCCTCCGCCGGTGCCTTGCTTGGTGTGGAGTTGAGGATGGATGGGGGGAAACTCGGGCAATTGGCTGTTCCGCCCTGACCACTGCTCTCTTCGAGGGCTAACAACTGCTTTAGGCACTGCTTGAACAAACGATTCTCAATAGGTATGAGCGCCACGAGTGGGGAGATCTCATTCTACGTTGGGGAACGGGTATGAAAGTGACTTGTGATTTTGTGTGGGCGAGCCAGACAAAGGGTACTTGACGATCCCTTTCCGCCAAGAGCCTTGGTACGGTGGTTTGCTTCTCGGCCCCTCCCTCACTCCTTTTGTACGCCCTTCTTCGTCCCAAACAGCTCTCTCGTTTACTAGCATGGCCGAGCGCTTGGCATCTGGGGAGAGTTCTGGATCTCTTGTGGCGGGTGGTTAAGGAAATGGTGGCTGAGGGTGGTCCATTTTGGTGTAAATAAGCAGAACAGAAAAAACATTCAATCATCATAATTTCTTTCCGGTACACCCCGGTGGCAAAAAGCCCATGGGGTAGAATTTCTGTCCTGCAGCTTTGCTCAGCGGTTGGGGGGTCCATGTTCTCTGATATTATTTTCTGGTTCTCTTCTCTGGTATGCCCAATCAACATTTTACCACTGTCATTTGAGAGCAAGGGGGAGCTGTGTGGATCCCCTGCCCGAGTGCAGCATGCGATACGAGTACTACCGTAGTATGATACAAGCACTGTGCTCGAGTACTGACGTAGGGGTAGGGCGATCTCTATGCCTGACGCTGCAGCCTGCGGCGCGCACAGGGGAAGCTTTCAAGTCCTGGTTGAAGGAGGGTTGCCGGCTTCAAAAGCCAGGAATCCAATAATACGAACCGAGGTCCTTGGAGGTGTTCCACCGCATCCGGCAGCTACTATGCCGTACCAGGTACAGCGCTAGTACAAGTACCGTAATAAAATTTCCTGCTAGTGGATACCATTCTCCAATTGGGCTAGGGATATCCAGCGCACTGACTATTGACGTCTTGCTTCGGGGATGCAGAGCAATCCTTGCACCATACTCTCGTAGATTAACCATACCGTACTCGATCACAATACCGGTACCGCCATTATGAGTACCGGTATCATATTCCCAAGCCGCTCCCTTCTCCCCACTCTTTGGGCCACAATTGGTAAGGGCCCTTGCCTTTTTTTTCTAATATTTCCGCCACCTTTCTCATCTCGCATAGCCTTTTACCTGTCTTGCCTCCTTGAAGCCTTAGCCCATAGCTCGTGTCTCGTGAGTTGGTGATTAGTATCTCACCATCCGTGACCGGCGAAGCCACGGAGTGAACCGTCTGGATAGGATACTTCGGATCACGACACCGGTTGGGGGGTAGACATCAGGTGTGTTGAACCCCCTGGTCTCGGAGGTCTGGATGGGGCAGTCATCTACTACCGGTATGTGGAGAGCTAGTGTGCGGCTTTTGTCAATTGAGGTGGTGGGCTGGGGGGGGGGGGGGATGGGGGTTCATCGAACTGATCGAGGAGAGCCTGCATGGAGCATAAAGGGAGGCATGAGTCCTATTCCGCAGATGCCAATCCTCTACTCGAGTACATTATAGTATCCTGCCTTTACCCTCGTCTTTATAAGGAGCTCCTCTGATCCCCGACTTCCTTTTACAATCTACCCTTTTTTTTTCTCTTTTTTTTTTTCTTTTCTGTTTATCACTCGACGAGACACAATGGCATCTAATACAAATGGTACAAACGGTACCACAAACGGTCCCTCTAACGGTGCATCTGGCGGTGTGAGCAAGGGAAAGGCTAGCAAATATGCTACACAAGCAAAGCCCCCTCCGCCGGTCGCAAAGCCTACGAGGGCGGAAGTGGACAGTACCTTTGAGCAATTCTCAAGCTTATTACATGCTTCTAATCGCCCCCTACCAAACAGATTTGGAGACGGAAAGGACCAGAGGCCTCCAGAGGTTAAGCAAACTGGCGTATTGACCGACATTAACACACTGAGGCGTGGGGGTTTCTTTTGGGAGAGTGTTGGAACATTATGGGATGTCCTCAAGGGAAAGATAAAGGGTGGACCGGTGGATGATAAGACCATGATTGTGCGTGACCTTTCTTAAACCTATTTAGAACATCAATATTTGTGAATGTGTCGCGTCGCGATTCACGCGGAGATAATGAGGATTACGAACTAACTGGGTTCTCTCTAGATGGAACGTGTCATACAACTTACTTCACGACTCCCGCCAACGAGCAAAGTTCGAGTTGCTTTGACCACAACCCAGGTGGGTCAACTTTGGGACTCGCTTCAACACCCTCCATTATCCTATCTTGGTGACGAGTTCAACTATCGACAGGCGGATGGTGGGTACAACAACATACTGTGCCCTCAACTGGGTCGTGCGGGATCGGCATACGCGAGATCTGTGAAGCCAATGATAAAGATGCCCGGCGCGCCACCGGATGCTTACACCCTCTTCGACCGCATCTTCTCTCGAGGCCCTAACGATGAGCACTTCCGTGAGCACGATAATAACGTTAGTAGTATGCTGTTTTATACGGCGACCATTATTATTCATGGTGCGTCACTCGGGAAAGGTATTGATGGGTGTAGCGAAGCTTACAAGTGCCTTAGACTTGTTCCGAACTAACCGGGCGGATCCGAATATCTCGGATACATCATCATATCTGGATCTAGCACCGCTCTATGGGAACAGTGTAGAGGACCAGTCAAAGATTAGGACCTTCCAGGACGGAAAGATTAAGCCGGACAGCTACTGTGAAAAGAGATTGCTCGCTTTTCCGCCGGGTGTCTCCGTATTCCTCATCATGTTTGGGCGGTTCCATAACTATGTCGTTGAGAAGTGGGGTTTCCTCCTTGCACCCTTGGCGATGTTCTCATACTAACTGTTTCTGTAGTCTGAAAGCTATTAATGAGGGTGGGCGATTCAGCCTGAAGTTCCCTAGATATCCTAATGGGGACGATGAGGCTACCAGGCAAGCAAACGCCCTGAGACAGCAGGATGAAGATTTGTTCCAAACTGGTAGATTGTATGCTCTTCTATTCTTTATACCTGATGAGTCGGATGCTAATAGGGTAAAGGGTCACTTGTGGCCTATACATAAACTTCGTTCTCAACGACTACCTAAGGACTATCGTCAACCTGAACAGGGTAGACACCACCTGGACACTTGATCCCCGATTTGAGGCGAGCAAGGTTTACAATCCCGATGGCACTGCAGCCGGTGTTGGTAACATGGTTTCAGCCGAGTTCAACTTGATCTACAGATGGCACTCTTGCATTTCCAAGCGTGACGATCAATGGACGAAGGATTTCTACAATGGTCTGTTCCCCGGAAGGGATACTAGGGACATTGAAATGCCCGAGTTCATGAGGGGTGTCGGTAGATGGGAGGCAGGTATCAGCGACGATCCCCTTCAGCGGAACATCGCCGGTTTGCAGCGCAAAGCAGACGGCAGCTATCATGACGACGACCTGGTAAAGATTCTCACGGAGAGCATCGAAGATGTTGCGGGCGCCTTTGGTGCGCGCAACGTCCCCCATGTCCTCCGCCTCATCGAGGTCTTGGGTATCGAGCAGTCTCGCAAGTGGAAGGTCGCTTCCTTGAACGAATTCCGTGAGTTCTTTGGACTCAAGCCACACGCCACCTTCGAGGACATTAATCCCGACCCAGCTGTTGCCAACACTCTCAGGCAGCTGTACGATCACCCAGACTTCGTTGAGATGTACGCTGGGCTCGTGGCCGAAGCCGACAAGAAGCCGATGGTCCCGGGAGTCGGTATCGGACCCACGTACACCATATCACGTGCCATTCTCAGCGACGCCGTTACCTTGGTCCGCGGCGACAGGTTCTACACTGCCGATTACACCGCCGCTCACTTGACCAACTGGGGTCTTCAGGAGGCATCTTCCGATCCGGCAATTGTCCATGGCTGCGTTGGGTACAAGTTGATTATCAAGGCTTTCCCGAACCACTTCAAGTTCAACTCCATCTACGCGCACTACCCACTCACCATCCCGGAGGAGAACCACAAGATCCACACCGCCCTCAAGACGGTCGATCAATTCGATTTCGAGAGGCCGGTTTACACTCCACTCCGCATTCCCATATCATCCTACGACGCCACGAAACAGATTTTGCGCGATGCTGAAAACTTCAAGGTCACCTGGGGCGCCGGGTTTGACTTCATCATGAGAGCGGATTTCATGCTGAGCGGTGACAAGCCATCAAATTCCGAGCAGAAGCAGTTTGTTCGCCAACGGTTGTACCTCGGGGATGTGGATTGGAAACAACAGATTAGACAATTCTACCAGGAGGTTACTGAGAAGCTGATCCGAAAGAAGGCTTACAGCCTTGGAGATACTTACCAAGTGGATGCAGTCAGAGAGTAGGTCCCTTTCCCAATGAGAGTAAGGGGAAGTTGTCTGACGTTTGCTTTAGTATTGGAAATATCGCTCAGACCATCTTTGCCGCGTCAATCTTTAATCTACCAATGAAGAGCGAGGATCACCCAAAGGGGATCTACACGGAGCAAGAGCTTTACACGATTCTCTGCGTCATGTTCATAGTCATCTTCTTTGATATTGACTCGAGCAAGTCATTCCCGCTACGACAAGCCGGATTCAAAGTAGTCCGCCAGTACGGTACTCTCGTGGAGGCCCAGGTCAAAGCCATAAAGAACTGGTCATGGCTGCAAGGGGTCTGGGATCCACTCAACATTCGCGGACGCAACAAGTCCTCCCCGCTCACATCTTACGGCTGGAATATGATCAAGCGTCTCCTCGAGACCGGAAAATCTCCATACGACGTAACCTGGTCATACATTGTTCCCACAGCCGGTGCATCGGCCCCCAACCAGGGTCAGATATTCGCTCAAGTCCTTGATTTCTACCTAGAAGACCGGAATGCTCATCACCTGGCCGAGATCCAGCGCCTAGCGCAATTGGGCACTGAGGAAGCTTGGGAGACCATCAAGAAGTACGCTCTCGAAGGCGGCCGCCTGGCTGGCACTTTTGGCCTCTATCGCCGTGTCGAACCAGATAACATCACGATCGAAGACAACGGACGCGACATCGATCTCCGGAAAGGCGACATAGTTTTCGTAAACTTCATCACTGCCTCCCGCGATCCGGTGGTCTTCCCCGATCCGCTCGAAGTCAGGCTTGATCGACCGGAGGATAGTTACATGCAGTACGGCGACGGTCCGCACCAATGTCTTGGTAAGGCAGCGAATATCATCGGCCTTACCACCATGCTCATGCAGTTTGGTAAGCTCAAGGGGTTGAGGAGGGCGCCAGGGCCCCAAGGAACACTCAAGTATATCCCTAAGCCAGGTGGCTTCAAGGTTTACATGAAGGAGGACTGGAGTGCGTACTGGCCATTCCCCACTACTATGAAGGTCAGGTTCGATGATATTATTTAAGCTTTTATGGTTTTTGGGGAATAGTTCCGGGGGGGATGTAATATTAGGGGCAGCTTGGTTTTTCATTGATTAATTGTTTAGCCTTTTCATTTTTATTTGTTTGAACGTTGCGCCAATCCCGTCGTTCTCTTTTCATAATTTATGTTTTGCTATAAGGTATGATATTGTTGGTATGGTATGAGGCTGTAATGGGCTTGATGTATTTTTCGACGAATTTATTGAATAATGTTTGGGAATATTCTGAAGTGGTATGTTTCTCGACGGGGGGCATTTTCTACCACGGCTTTCAAATGATATGAACAACGTGGTTTACAGGTGATGACCCCTACGAACAGGGTAGCATCTACTATGTGTGCTAGAGGAATTCTTGGTGATAGAAACGGTGTTACACAGCTATTCCTGGGCCTATCCAACGGGCTAATTTGGTATGGCAGAATATCACCTGGGTTTTGGGTTCGTAGTGACCGCATGGGTATTTTGGGCTCCCTGGGGGTGCCTTGGGTCGCGGTGCTGGGCAATGGGTCACGTCTTCTTTGGCGGTGATGTCAATATCGAGCCAGAGAATTAAAAATGTCGATTATCGGCCGTCCCACCCAGGGGGAGGGGGTACCGGTGGTTGGTTCGGGAAAATCATGGGGTGTGTTCGGGGGGCAGATCTCCGGACAAAGGCTTCTGCCAGTACAAAACCCTTTAGCTGATGGGACCAACGCACTGTGGCCGCCGGATGGGTTTTTTTGAAATGGAGTTTGAGGTTCTGTTGTGGAAAAAAATGATTACATTTTCAAACATAAAAGTAAGTGGAATGTTAGAAAGCAGGGGGGGATGGGTGTGATGCGGGCATGGCATGGTGGCTCGGTGGAGGGCGTGGGAGGGTAGGGTGCCACGAGGTGCGGGTAGAAAGATGGAGAAGTGAGGCTCGGAGGAGGGCTGTGGTCCTTACAGGATACAACCCTTCTACATTATATGGTTCAAGTATGCCAGAATATGTACAAAGCTGAATTAAGGGGGTGTTAGGCACGCCACGTTTATTGATTTGAGATCAAAGGGTGTTTGGTGCGCTACCGTGACTTTTATATTCTGATTTCCAATCCAGCCCTTATTTTGATTTTGTATACGTGATTTGAGGTTGAATTCTATTACATGCTCTTGGATTACCAAATAGGACATAGTATACAATTCATTCTTATATTATAACGTATCATATGGGGAACCTGCTCATGACAGGGATCCTGGTCAGTGCCAAGAGATTATCCCACCTGTGAATAAATAACTGTAGAAGCCAAGAAATACTATAAAGACCAACAGTATACTATACAATACCTTACCTAAATGAATACCAACCTGATATGAAGGAAGAGAATATTCAGAACATAAGCAAAAATAAATCCATGCATACTGTGTGTCCTGTGTATCAGATACACAGAACACAAGGGACACGGATCATGATTCAGGATGTTGTGGATCTTGGTACCAGAACTCCGAATGCAACTGAGTACTCTGCAAATCTTAGTGTAATGTGTTCACGCCGGGGCGCTAATCACGCTGTTGGATGCAATAGGAGAGAGGTGACGTCTACAGGAGACTGTCAACTCTAGGCTCGCTAAGGGAGGCTTCGGTGGTGTAATAGGAGAATAAAGATAACCGTTCAACTGAGTATATTAAAATACTGTCTGTCGAAGTCTGCTCTTTCCATCGTGGAAACGAGCGGTCTATTTAAGTACATGTATTTGAGTATGATCATGAATTCTCACTCATGTTCTTACTCAATCAAAGCATAAAAATAACCAAGTATCAACCGATACTTAAAACAAAACATAAAACAAACTAAGTATCAACCGATACTTAAAACAAAACATAAAACAAACTAACCGAGTACCAGCTCCGGTTACATTTCCCAACACAAAACAAATCCTTCAAACATAACAAAACCACTAACCAAACAGAGAAAGAAACGAATCCCGAGCCTCGCTAAGCTCATCATCATCTTCGAAGGCCGAATGGCACTGGCAGTTATAAAAACATGCCAGGCCCCCAATACACGCGTCATCCCAGTCCGGCCCGGCGCAGGTTCTGCAGGTATGGCTGGTAAAAAACGCTGGGGCGCATTTTCGATGGTAGGCTTTTTTGAACGGATTCCATACCGCACTCGTGAATTTGCAGTCCATCTGGTTGCATCCCAGGCAACAGAATATATAGATCGCTTGCCGTCTTTGGAGGGACGGTATGTCGCCCATACGTTTAAAGTTCAGTCGCCATAGGTAGGAGTCTTTTTTGCTGAGTCTCGTGAAGTCCGAGTTATGCATGATGGGATATGGTATAGTAGGATGGGGTATAGTAGGGTAGTTCTGTGAGGGACGGTGGATTGTGGTGTGGTGGGGAGGTTGGCGTCTGCCTGGTATACAGGTGCGAAGTGCACCTTTTTATGTGCTTCTGGGTGGGTGTGCAGGAGTGTGGTTTCTGTGCTGGGTGTGTGTGTGTGTCTTGCTTGGAGTTCTGAAGGTGTGGGTGCGTGGGTTTTGTGTAGGATGTGTGTGGGTCTCGCTTAGATTTCTGAAGGTGTGGGTACGTGGGTTTTCTGTAGGATGTGTGTGGGTCTCGCTTAGATTTCTGAAGGTGTAGGTGATTCCGAGTCTTCCTCTGTTGCATTTCCAGGAGAGAATTCGTCATCACTGTATGGTGCCCAGAATCCCTTTGGTGTCCATGGCGTATTTTCCCATCTGTTTATTTCTGGTACCGTTGGTGCCCAACACATGGTTACTGGGAGTATCGTTGGTGGGTCTCCTTCTTTATTGTTATTCCACCACTCGTGGATTAGTTCTGTGGCGTTTCCAAGTTCTTCGATTGGTTCCCAACTATTTTCACTTGGTGGATATTCTTTCCACCTAATCAAGAATTCGTCCTTATCGTATCGTCGTCCATGATCCCGGACTTCTTCTACTTCCCATTCAGGATGCTCGTTTACCAGTGTTGGTGCTGGTCTAGTGTGGGCGTGTCTTGGGAACTTGGTATCGTCGTTTGCTAGGTACCGTTTTATTGAGCTTGCATGGAAGATGCCTTCCGGGCGCCGGTATATCTTCGCATCCATTTTTACCGTGTAGTTTTCCATGTAGTCATCAAATCCAATTACTGTAAAGGGACCTCTCCACATGAGTTCTAGCTTCTTGCTCCTTCCTGATTGGGTCGCAAATTGGCTTCCATACACCAACGCTTGTTCCCCGTTCGGAATTCGTTTATGTATTCTGCGTCGTTTAGCTACTTTCTGAGTCATTCGGAATCGTGCTAATTGGAGGTTTTGCAATACTAGGTTTCTCATCTCTTGATGTCTGTTTAGGAATTCGTCAGTAGCTGGTACCGATGACTTTCCAAACTGGAGTGTTTTCATCATTGGGTATTCTTTTCCGTAAACTATGGCATAGGACGAGGAGCTGTAGGTTTCCGTGTATGATCCATTTATATTTGCCGCTGCTTTGGCCAGTGTCGGTTTCCAGTTGTTCTGTCTTTTGTTTGTAATATTTCGCATTGCTGTTTTCAATTCTCTGATTCATCGCTCTACCTGTCCGTTGGTCTCATGGTGTCCTGGCTGAGCACAGAGGTGTTCGATACCTAGTGACTTGCACCATTGTTGCCAGAATTTACAGGTGAACCGTGGGTCTGCATCGGTAACTATAGAGCATGGGTACCCATGCGGGGTGCATACATGCTCAGTTAATTCCGCAATGGTTCGTTCTGCCGTATTGGTCACCTTGGTGGGTATGAACCATGTCCATGCACTGAGTCTATCCATCACTACCATGATCGTGTCAGATCCGTCTGACTTGTTGAAGGGTCCCGCAAAGTCGATGGCAAGTGATTCGAAGACTTCAGATAGTATTGGTAGTGTTTTCGCAGTGCCTTCGGGCAGTTGGGTGCGTGGTTTGTTGATCTGGCAAGTGTCGCACTGTGCGACATACTGGCGGAAGTCGTTACCCATTTGTGGCCAAAAGAAATAACTGGTGGCATAGTGGAGGTTTCTTTTTGCGCTATAGTGTCCGTTGCTATAGATCTCTCTTATGATGTATTCTCGTAAACTCTCTTTATTTCCAGCATAGCCGTGAGGGATGTATAGGCACCAAGCCCCATATCGGGTTGGCGAGTACACTAGTCCGTCGTCGATTTCGTAGAGGTTGAGGTCTGTTGAGCTGCCGCGTAGTAGTTTGTCATACAACGGGTCGCTTCTGTAGCCTTTGATCATTTGCTGTCTTAGGTTATTTTCCATCTTCTTGCATACCAGGAAGGTTGATTGTTCTTCTTCAATCTCGGTACTTCTGGCTGTTATTTGCCCATGACTAGCGTCATCTGCGATAGGTTGGTATAATTGTCCTCGGTATTTATCCATTGCTGGTGGCATAACTGATTCGATAATTTCGTGAGGATATGTTTCCGATTCCTCGTTTAACTTGGACTGGTATAGTTCCTGACTCGTGTTACTTGTTAGGAGGAACGGTGGTGGGCTACTGGGTGGTTCCTCAGTCAGTATCTCCAACCTTGATGGATCGATCCATGCCTCTGGCCGGGGATGGTAGATGGGGGTTTGTTGGGTTTGTTGGGGTGTGTCGGCTTCCGATGTGAGCTGTTGCATTCTCGATAGTGTTTCTTCATCAGGGGTATCGTAGCATGTTCCTGATTGTTTCGATCTTGGTCTGGGTGAGTACCCAGAGCCTACTTTATCGCTTGCATGGTAGTTGCATTCATTAATGTCGCATGCAGTAAAGTGGAGGTATGCATGGTCTCGATCTTCGGGGGGTGTACCAGTGTGGGTAACTCGGTCTCTCCAATCGTTACCATCACGGATGGTATGGTCTGCAGACCAACTCTCCGGTTCTTGGAGTACAGGACGGGGTGAATTTGGAGTGTCTGTAACTGAGGGTAGCTGATAGTTGGACATTCTAACTTGGTAGCTTGATGGGTTTCGTTCGAATTCTGTGGTGTCTGATAGGTCGTCTTCTTGGATTGTAGTATCTTGAGCATAGAGAGTATCTTCTGCGTGATTGATGTCTTCGTAAATCCGGGAGAGCGCATCAGCTAAATAGTTTTTGCTTCCTTCCTGGTATATTATCTGTGTATCGTATTTACTGAGCTCTGTTACCCATCTAATTTGTTTTCTGCTAGGTTGCTTCATAGTTTTCAGGAATATTAGCGGGCGGTCACGGTGGTCTGTTACTATCGTGAACTTTCTTCCCATAAGGATGTAGCTGAAACTGTGCAGGGCATCCACTATGGCTAGTGCTTCCTTGTCCGTTGTTCCGTAGTTTATTTGTGTATTAGTAAACTTTCTGCTTTGGAGGATTACTGGTCGAGCCGTGTTGCATGTAGGTCCTTGTCCTACCCACGCTCCTACCCCTATGTCAGATGCGTCGGTTATCAGCTATATAGGTTCCCCTGAGTCCTTCAGGGGCTGCATGACTGCATGTTCCCGTAGTACTCGCTTAATGTTTCTGAACGCTTGGTCATGAGTTGCTGTCAATACCCACTCGGCCCCACTGGTTAGGTCTGTGAGGGGTCCTGCTAAGGTGGCGTGATGTGGCAGGAACTGTGCCACATAGTTGAGTAATCTCAAAAATCGTTGTAACTCTTTTTTACTTGTTGGTGTGGTTCAGTCTTCCAGGGCGCGTATCTTTTCAGGGGCTGCGTGGATGCCGTTGTTGTCAATAATATGTCCCAATATATCTAGTTCTTTGGCAAATAGGTCTGATTTCTTTTTGCTCATGTAGTACTGTGCCTGGCGCAGTTTTTCACAAACTTGCCGTAGGTGGGTCATATGTTCTTCTGCCGTGTCTGAGAATACTAGGATGTCGTCGATGTACACTCATACAGAATCATGTAGGTATTCTCCTAATAGGTCTTCTATTATACGCATAAATGTGGCGGGTGCGTTTTTGTCTCCTTGTAGCATTACTCGGCTAATCATGGTTCCGAATATTGACTTCAAGTTGAAGGAGTTGTTCTCCTCATCCTTGGGGTCCACTCTTGTTTGGAAATATGCATTGCGGAGATGTATCTTACTCCGGTATTTTTTCCTCCCTACC